TATAAATGAGGAAAATCACTGAATTGATCTTTTTTTCTGGATAAACTTCACTTGATGATGGGCCTGTATACATAATCATGGTTACTGCTTGTAATATCCAATAAGCATCAAGGTCACATTCTCAGGCCTTTCAAAATTGGCTGGTACCCTGTACTTTTACCAGGCTAAACTCATGTTTGTACCAGCCAAAATATTTGAAGGAGAAAAATTTAATAACATACTTAGTTAAAATTTTTCCACAAGGTACCTCCCTTTTTTGTAAAAGTACAACCTTTTTCTAATCTTTTTGATCACTTGGCATTATGGAGAAAAACTAAATGCCTGTTCATCTTTGTTTCTGTCTGTAAAAACTGCATTTCAATGCAACACAGAAATGTGATGTCACAATGATGTACTATAATATCAAAGTTTTCAAATGCATATTAAAAAAATTGAACACACTTCATGTGATTAATACAGTGCACTGCATAAAAATTTCATTCAATTCATAAGTATTTGAATTTTTTCCATATTCAGTTTTGTCAAGAAAAAGGGAAGAAAAAAATTATGATAGCACCATTTATAAAGAATTATATCACAATGTTCTTATTAATCCCCAGTAAGACAAAATAATTATTTAATTTGGGATAAAATTAGGGCAACTAAATGTTTTACATTAATATGTCTAAATGTGACCATTATACATATAATATTGCTGTATTTTAAAAGGTTAACATCATAATATTTCATAGTTTTAATGTCATACCTATTTTTCAATGTTTTTAATTTCAAAAAGAAATGCTGAATATATTTTTAAACTTTTATGCTATTATTGTATCGACCTTAATTTATTTACAATGGTGAAATACTTTAATTTACACATATATATCCATTGAAAAAATTGATCATTTCATAGATTTTTAAATAAGTTACACAATGTGAAAATGACAGCTAAAATTACTTTGGCTACTAAGGTCAAAAGGAAAAAAAAGTTATAATTTTAAAGAAAAAATTCAATGTTTTCAAGTTGGATATGAAATTTATTTCACAAGTGGGACAAGGTGCTTTTTTTTTTATTTTCATGGGTGCAAACTTCAAATATTTTGAGTTTCTGTTAAGAAAATAATTTTTAAGTATTCTTATGCCCCTGTATCGAAGATTTGGGGTATATATAGTTTTAAACTAAAACCAAACACTTAAGTTGATTATTTTAAAAATAAATGATCCTTTTTGAAATTGCTAGCATAAAGAAACTTGTTAAATTCTTTTTAAAAAGATTAAAACAATTTTCAAACCAATGTAAAATAAAAAGTTTTGTTATACCTTTAAAAATTAGTTCCTATATACCAGTAATTTTATACTATAAAAAATCTAACATTTCTAATGTTTTACTGAGCAGTCATAAAAAAATTGATGTTTGACCACAGAGTGAGATATTGGACCTGTCAATGAGATATTGGACCACTTACGTCACACTGTGGGCGGTATCAACTTTCGTTGGTATGGAGGCCAGCACAAGACACACGTATAACAAAAAAAATAAATAAATGAAAAGGAAATTATCTCAAACACAGATATCTCAAATACCAGGGATAGTGGAAGTGATTTAATTGGTAGTCCCAATCACTTTTCTTTATGTTTTTTATCCTCGTTATCTCGAATCCTTGGATATCTTCAAGTTTAATCTCATTCCTGTTGAGTTTGAGATAACTAGGTTTGACTATATTATCATGGTCCTGCTGTTCTTGAAAAGAAGGTTTTACTTTATTTTCCAATGTAAAACTTTAATCCCTATTTGTGGCAGGAGCAATAACCTTGTCTGAGGGCTGCATCTAAGATTACAGAGGCTATAATAGGTGTTAGATAAAAGATATCTAGTTCTTTTAAACAAGCAGTTCAATTAGCAACTAGGTGTCAGATTTTTTTAGAAATATATATGAAGTTCTTCATTAAGTCAATCAGGACATTAAACTTCTGTGGACCTTTTCACAAAAAATCTTACGACATATTTTTATCTTAAGTAAAACTTATGATAAAAATCGTTTTCACAAAAATTCTTAAGAAAGTCGTAAGTGCAAAATCTGTCGTAACTTTATGAGAGCCCCAACCCTCTCTTAAGTATTTTAAAACCGATTTTATTATAAAAATATAACAGCAAAAACCAAAATACACATTAAATTGAACTCTTTAAAGCATCTTCCAATACTATTTTATATTTTTTTCATAAACATTGTCAAAAAATTAAATGAAATAAACTACAAAATATTTACGATGTAAGTTTCACGTAAGATTTTCGTATGACCTACTTTTACGTCAGACTTGTGATTGTGACGTCAGATTTTAAACTTCCTCGCTTCACAAACGATTGCATTCGATATTTGTAATCAATGATGTTTGTTATGCTGACAAATGTCGAAAACTAAGTTTTATTTTTATTTTCACCCACTTATTTAAGGATTATAAAGCACATAGAAGTCGTTGCTAGGGATGAAGTCTGTCGTAAGTAAAATCTTAAGTTCAATCTGCTACGCATGCGTTCGTGAAACGCTCTTAAGATATGTGGTACGAGATTCTTAAGTTAAAATCTTACGCAAAAACTTAAGATTTTTTGTGAAAAGGGCTACTGGACATTATATCTTGCTGCTTATTCATGGATTTACAGAAATCCTGTGAAATCACTAATTTTCAAGAGGGGGGGGGGGGGTAATTTTTGTTATTTTCCAGGTGTTATAAGACCCCTGAATTCATGGCCTGCTCAAAATTAAAATTTTTATGCATAACTACTAAACACTTCTTCATCCGCAAATTCAAATCAAATCCCCATGAACTCAAAATTTTCCCTCAAACCACAAAAATTTGACCCCACAAAAATGTGCGATTTTACAGTAAGTTTGCCACAGTAAATACCTTGGCCTTAACATCAGCAATAACTTGTCATGCAACCAGCATATATTAGAACAATTACAGAGAAACCAAATAACATCAATGCTTTTCTCAGGTGCATCATTAGCACATGCCCTAGCTAGTACCATCAAGGCGCAGTGCTACACCACCTTGGTAACTCCGGTTGTGGAGTACCCTTGTATCATATGGGTCCAACCTGGTAACACAGAGAACTAATCTCCGAGTTGGAAATGGTGCAAAAGGAGAGCAGCAAGCTTTGTTAACAGGAATTATAGAATGACCACCAGTGTAACTAAGATGCTGGAAGATTTACAATGGCCAACTCTACAAGCAAAGCAGAAAGCAAAGGTCACCATGCTTTATGATATTGTCCATCATCTTGACTTGTTGCAATATACCATTGCAAACTTACCTTGAAACCTAGAGGAGCTAACTTAACAACATGAGGACATGACATCAGGTTCCTGCTCCCTTACTCTAGAACTCAGGGTCACCAACAGTCCTAGTTTCCATCAGCCATAAGACCAGAACAACTTACCATCTAATGCTGTCAACGCCTCTAGTCTGGAGAGATTCAAGGACAGCATCAGATCCATCAACATGACCTAGATCCATCAGTTTCTTAAGAAATAAGGTATCATTTTTAAACATCTATCAGGATATAAATACGGGTTGGTCACGAGATCAAATTCCATAAAGCCTTAAGGGCTTTATGGTAAATTTGATCTCATACCAATCTGTATTTATAGCCCGATAGATATTTTGAAATGATACCTTATTACTTATATTTACATTTGTGACTTATTCATATTTTATGTTTGCCTGATTAAAATCTTAACGCGTGAAACGTTTTATTTTTTAAACCCAACGGCACGTGTTTGATCCACTGATTGCGCGTCGACCCTTTATGACGTCACTGAGAAATTACGTCAAACATTTATGACGCGAGGAACCCGTGTTTATACGGATATAGATACGCGTTGCTTTTAATAGCGTTATATAAAAGAAAACATTTGCAAATATAAATATAACTGTATATATAGTGCCAGAGAGGCTTTTACGACTGTAAATAGATTGATGGAGAGTTGTTTCCCATGTCATTGTGTAAAGAGTCATTCACAACAATACAACAGATGGTGGTATGCGGATAAAAGGAAGAAGGGCTGTATTCAAGATCCTTGGGTGTTAGATATCTAGTTCTCTTAAACAAAAGGCTCAATGACTCAACTGACAGACATGTGTCAATTTTTTTTTTTTAAATATTTTTTTATTTTATTTTGTTATTTAAAAGCAAAATACTCTGTTTTGTTATTTCATAAATTGTTTATTAGGTTGATTTCAACGGAAAAACACAAAAGATTTCTTTTTTTGTTTTTCCTTTTTTTGGAAAATAATTTTCATGCAAGTCTCAGGTATTCTCTATTGAGAAGTTGATGGCTCGTTTTAATACTCCCCCTCAACAGGGGGAGTATTAAAACGAGCCATCAACTTCTCAATAGAGAAAAAGTCTCAGGGACCAATATTAAATGTGTAGTATTTAATATCCTAAAATCGATGACAGACATAAAATCAACACTCATAGTAGATAAGTTAGAAGTTTATCATGTTTAATACTGTATGAGGGAACATTTGGTGAATATATTATTTTTTCATATAACGTTACACATGTAATCAATGTTCTGACGTGGAATGACTGATCACTGATTGATGATCAACAATGTGGATACTATGATGTTATTATCTTAATATAATCCTTACCTATTTTCATCTTTGGAATGTCATTTGTAAATATCTTTACAATACTTCAGCATCCCCATCACAACCGTCTCTCTTCGTCAATACACATTTGTTTACAGGTTGTGCTAATACCAGCAAAGAAGAATTTGACAAATGTACATAAGTTAATAATACAACATCGTTAGGAATTTCAAAATATTTTTTTTTCATCTCGAAATGTATCGACTCATAATTCTATTATTGTGATTAAAAATGATTACCAAAACACATAAACATGTAGCTTGTCTTTGTGATAAGAAATTTAACGTCAATTAGACGCCTCCTCTACTTTCACTTTTGAATAAGCACGAGTAACAGAAAGGTTGGATTTATATCTAATTATTACATCCGCATGGATTAATGAAAGGTAAACTTCTTATCTCTAGAAGAAATATATATATAATATAGATATATAAAAGCGATAGTTCGGATTTATGACTTTAAAAGCTGTAGACTAATACTTTTAACACTTATGCCGTTATCAGGTTAATATGGACTCTCTGTCCATATATCTGAGAATGATACTTTTTTTTATATGTATGAATTTAGTCCGAAATATTTTATCATTTTCCTTTCTTTCGTGATTTGAATTGCACGAACTTGACGAAGTACTGTATTTTAGTTGGGACTTGTATATGAAGAGTACATGAAAGTATAACCATTCTCACAATGTCAGGAGTCCTGTGTCCACCCACTGTGACTTTGTGTCAGAGGATGACATGATACACAAGCTTCTGTTTTCGTTTTTGTCTTTTTTTTTCAATCCTCACACCACAATTAGATGAGAAAGTTTGTTGTTGAAGCATTGCAAGTAACTCAATATTGTGATGATTAGGCTCAGTATTAGAATTCAATAATGAGTTTTATTGTTAGAGGTAATGATGGGAACCGAGTTAGTGTGGAATCGCTAGGGTATATAATAAGCGTGCATCAGAAGTAAGATAATCATTCTTTGGCTGTTGAAGAAAAAGGTACGGTGATTTAGTAAGTTAGATTTCGCATTGTTAACTGCTTATTGTTGTATTGTGTTTACAACTCTGTGTACTGTGTTGTATATATACAGTTACAGTATATTTTTTTGAGGACTGCTTTTTCTTGTAACTTGCTACAGCCTGTGTCAGATCAGGGGATACATGCTGACAGGACAGGTCCAAGAGACACATACCTAGGATAGATCCCAGATAGATTTCTAAGACACGTACCCAGGATAGAGTCCTTTCCAAAAGTGATTGTATTTGATTTGTTTTATATAAAGGGATAGATAACCCTAGATACATGTATATATTGACTCATTGTTATTTTTTTATATCAGCCTTTGTAAGTAAAATGTAATTTGCATACATGCCCCAGATTGGTCCAAATCATTGAACTCGAAATACATTACAGTATGTTCAAATCAATTAAATTTAAATCTATCTCTCTCTCTCACACACATGTTTAAATTCTAAAATTATACAGTGGATATTGGTCATTTGATATCATTTTCATATCAACAGTTGTGATGTCACATAGGTTTTTATGTGAAAATGAAGTCCAATAAGGTGGATTCATATATAAAGTCAGTGTAAACATGCAATAGCTACATAAGACATGATATAAAGAATTTCACATGGTTTGTGGTTGGATGTGATTTTTATCCAACTTGTGTCTTTTCTATGCCCTAGCCAAGGATAGAAACACACAATGGATTGGACATTAAAATCATATCCAATCACAAACCAGGGGAGTTGCTATAAAAATATAGTAATTTCTTTACTTCATAGTGAAGTATTATTCTATGAAGAGAGGGTCTTCATTTTCACAATAAAACCAGACCTCCTTGAATTTCACTAATCTATACAGGGAAATTTTCACCCTCATTTTATTTTCACCCCTTTTGCCCTACACACAAGTGGATGAATTCAAAAAACACAGTATGATTTGTTAAACAGAATTGTGAATTTAAAATGGGGCAATATTGTTTGCAAGTGTGAAAGGGTGAAAATAACCCTGTATACAGTATTTTCAATTGGAAGAAGTACTCTTGCCTATTATAACAATTTAACCCACTCAGTTTGTCTTCTAAATACCCAGCAGCAGATAAGAATTAATAAAAGTTTGATTGTTTAATTATATGATCATTTCTTATCAATGGGATCTATATTGTAGATTCCTAAAAATACGTGAGGAATTAATTATTGCATAATTTCGCAAGAAGCACCACTCATGAAATAAAATAACTCGCTCTTATTTATATGATGCTGAAATCAATGTAAAAAATCTCTTGATCCACCGTACACTTGCGAATGATTTTTTTCCGCAATTTGACGTTAACAAGCCTTTTTGTGAAAATAAGTACTTGCAAAAAATAAGGAATTTACATTACTGTTAGTAATATGATTTCCCTACTTTGTTTTCAGATAAAGATGCCAACTGTGATAGTGTTAGATGTTTCTCTGTCTATGAGTAGACCTGTCGTCATCCCGGACTGTTCAGAAGAATACCAAAGAAAACATTTAGCAATCCACGGAATCAACTGCTTCCTAGATTACTTGTCCAGCAACTTCAAATTAGAATTCACTTCACTTGTAAGATTTAACATTGATAGTGATGATCCTAAGCAGTCTGAAGTCTGAGTTCACTCTGGTCAGATTATGTCAGTCCATTCATAAGTTTCTGTGTCTGCCTCAACAATTGTGTTTACTGTAAATCACTTTTTATTCATGAGAACTTTTAGCATAATTACATGAGACGGTGTGCTCGTAAACATTTCATTCATGTGTATATTAGTATTCCTAAAGATTATATAGAACAATATCCACAATTCGTGAAAATTTTGTCTCGTTAATTAAGAGTAAATGACTATCTCGCGAAAATAAGGTGTCCCGAAAATTTAGTGATCTACAGTAACTGTTCCATTTGGTTCTGTTGTTGGTGACCGATTAATAGAACTTTATAAACTTCAGCTTCAAACTGTAAAAAAATGATCAACTTCAATTCTCACATAATTTAGAATGGCATGTTTTAATTATTGCTGACCTTAACCTGATCTTTGACCTTGACAGTGAATAAAACATTTAAATTTTCTGATTCTCTGTTGATGATGACCTATTCTGAACATTATCTCATAACATATCATACGTTAGGTTTTGTTTGTTTGTATGTTGTTTAACGTCCCTCTCGAGAATTTTTCACTCATATGGAGACGCCACCACTTGCCGATGGAGAGCTGCAAATTTTGTCCTATACTCAGCACTTACGGCCATTGAGCAGTGAGGGATCTTTTTCGTGCCAGCACCTACTGCGACAGGGGACCTTGGTTTATACGGTCTCATCCGAAGGACCGGTCTCCACATTCCACAGTGGGATTCGACTCTAGAGCAGACGCTCTAACCACTGCGCACTGCGGGCGACTCATACCTTAGGTAAATCATAATAAAATATTTGAATTGTGGCATTAAGTGGAAACAAGCCTTGACCTCTGACCTCTTAGCTTGTAATTAAAATGAAATGTCTGCTGAGGATGATCCACTCTGATCCTCATCTTCTAACATCACACTCATAAATAAATCAAGAAGAGATGTTTCATCTCAGCCATAGCCTCGACATTTGACCTTTAGAGTGAACACTTTCATCTTCCTTGAGGATGACAATTATGGAAATAAGTAGATCAGGATTTGGTTTTTAGCTCACCTCGACGAAGTTGAGATGAGCTTATGCTATACCCCCAGTGTTGGCGTCGGCGTCCCAGGTTAAAGTTTTAGGAGCAAGTCCATTCCCAAGTAACTACAAGCCCTACCTGGACCACTCTTGCATGGATGATGCATCTAGGGATGGACACTACCACACTTGCTTCGGATGCTGGATCTGACCTAGATTTGGAGCAGGTCTATTCACAAGTAACTATAAGCCCTGCCTGGACCAAACTTGCATGGATGATGCATCTAGGGATGGACAGTACCACATTTGCCTCGGATGCTGGATCTGACCTAGATTTTCCAGATGAGTGACCAGGTAAAAGTTTTTGGAGCAGGTCTATTCCCAAGTAACTATAAGCCCTACCTGGACCAAACTTGCATGGATGATGCATCTAGGGATGGACACTACCACACTTGCTTCGGATGCTGGATCTGACTTAGTTTTTCCAGATGAGTGACCAGGTTAAAGTATTTTGAGCAGGTCTATTCCCAAGTAACTATAAGCCCTACCTGGACCAAACTTGCATGGATGATGCATCTAGGGATGGACAGTACCACATTTGCCTCGGATGCTGGATCTGACCTAGATTTTCCAGATGAGTGACCAGGTTAAAGTTTTTGGAGCAGATCCATTCCCAAGTAACTATAAGCCCTATCTGGACCAAACTTGCATGGATGATGCAACTAGGGATGGACACTACCACACTTGCTTCGGATACTGAATCTGACCTAGATTTTCCAGATGAGTTAATTTTAGCTTTATTTTAATCAAATTAGCATGCATGATGTATCTTAGGATGGACACTTTCAGACTTGTTTTGGATTCTGAATCTGACCTACATTTTCCAGATGAGTGACCAGAGTAATGTTTTTGGAGTAGCTACTGTGGAATCATTATTGTTCATGGGGGACCAATGTTCGTGGATTTCGTGGGTCACCCTTGCCCACGAATTAACATCCCAACAAACATTTATTTTGTAAACATATTGATTCATTGAATCCTCCGTATGAACGACTAACCCACGAAATTACGTCCCCATGATTAAGTAAAATTTTGCTTGCCCACGAACATTGACCCCCACGAATTAAAATGATTCCACAGTATATAATATTATGGCATGTTATGATTAAACTTACATGGATGGTGCATCTAAGGATGAAAACTTCTAGACTTGCTTTGGATGTTGGAACTGATCAAAATTTTCTTGATTAGTAAACAGGTTAAAAGTTTTTTGAGCAGGTCTATTTCCAGGTATCTATAAGTCCTTCTTAAACCAAACTTGTATGGATGTTGATCTTGGGATGAACACTAACTAGAAAAAATATGATGTGAGATTTGCCTTACTTATAGATAACCTTCGTCGAGGTGAGCTTTGTAATCTTTGATTACCTATGTTTTTTTTTAAGTACATGTACCACTGTTGGGATTTAGCCTGTACATAATAAATTTAATGACACTATACCATATAAGCAGAATTTTTAGCAAGGATTCAATTTTGGCATTATTAGCAAGCGTTTTGAGATCACTAAAATTAAATATCACTAACAATTTATTCCGTATTGGTTGTTATAGATATCCTTCTTGACATTATAAATTACTTCTCGCTAAAAAATATATACATGTACTAATATTTGGGGATTAATTGCTAAAATTGCATCTCGCTAAAAATTCAAATTATACTGTAATTAATGTTTCATTCTATTGAATTGCCAATGTTTGAAGTTGGTAACAACATGTTTAATATTTTAGTTGGTGTTTTCCTTTCTGTGGGAACAACTTGTTCCTTTTACAAGGAACTATGAAACAATAAAGTCAGCTCTGAACAGTGTGGAAGAGTACAACAAGACCTGTATAGAGGCTGGCTTAACAGGTGCTTCATCTGTAGTCACAGAGGAATGGAACTCTGTCACCCCTTCACAGGTATGTAGTGTTGTCTGTAGTCACAGAGCAATGGAACTCTGTCACCCCTACACAGGTTTGTAGTGTTGTCTGTAGTCAGAGAGGAATGGAACTCTGTCACTCCTTCACAGGTATGTAGTGTTGTCTGTAGTCAGAGAGGAATGGAACTCTGTCACGCCTACACAGATATGTAGTGTCTTCTGTAGTCAGAGAGGAATGGAACTCTGTCACCCCTTCACAGGTATGTAGTGTTGTCTGTAGTCAGAGAGGAATGGAACTCTGTCACCCCTTCACAAGTGTTGTCTGTAGTCACAGAGCAATGGACCTCTATCACTCCTACACAGGTGCCATCTGAAATCATAGAGTAATGGAAATCTGTCACCCCTTCACAGGTATGTAGTGTTGTCTGTAGTCACGGAGCAATGGACCTCTATCACTCCTACACAGGTTTGAAGTGCGATCTGTAGTCAGAGAGGAATGGAACTCTGTCACCCCTACACAGGTATGTAGTGTTGTCTGTAGTCAGAGAGGAATGGAACTCTGTCACCCCTTCACAAGTATGTAGTGTTGTCTGTAGTCTCTGAGCAGTGAACCTCTATCACTCCTACACAGGTTTGTAGTGTATTCTGTAGTCAGAGAGGAATGGAACTCTGTCACCCCTTCACAGGTATGTAGTGTTGTCTGTAGTCTCAGAGCAATGGACCTCTATCACTCCTACACAGGTTTGTAGTGCCATCTGTAGTCAGAGAGGAATGGAACTCTGTCACCCCTTCACAGGTATGTAGTGTTGTCTGTAGTCTCGGAGCAATGGACCTCTATCACTCCTACACAGGTATGTAGTGTCATCTCTAGTCAGAGAATTGGAAATTTGTCATTACTTCACAGGTATGTAGTGTCATCTGTAGTCAGAGAGCAATGGAAATCTGTCACCCCTTCACAGGTATGCAGTGTATTCTGTAGTCATGGAGCAATGGAACTCTGTCACCCCTACACAGGTTTGTAGTGTTGTCTGTAGTCAGAGAGGAATGGAACTCTGTCACCCCTACACAGGTATGTAGTGTTGTCTGTAGTCAGAGAGGAATGGAACTCTGTCACCCCTTCACAGGTATGTAGTGTTGTCTGTAGTCAGAGAGGAATGGAACTCTGTCACCCCTTCACAGGTATGTAGTGTCTTCTGTAGTCAGAGAGGAATGGAACTCTGTCACCCCTTCACAGGTATGTAGTGTTGTCTGTAGTCAGAGAGGAATGGAACTCTGTCATGCCTACACAGATATGTAGTGTCTTCTGTAGTCAGAGAGGAATGGAACTCTGTCACCCCTTCACAGGTATGTAGTGTTGTCTGTAGTCAGAGAGGAATGGAACTCTGTCACGCCTACACAGGTATGTAGCGTCTTCTGTAGTCAGAGAGGAATAGAACTCTGTCACTCCTTCACAGGTATGTAGTGTTGTCTGTAGTCAGAGAGGAATGGAACTCTGTCACCCCTTCACAGGTATGTAGTGTTGTCTGTAGTCAGCCTTTCACAAGTATGTATGGCCAGGTTGTACAATGTTAATTTTATGCTTAACATCACCCGCGCAAATAGATTTTGGAGAAATTGATGTTTTGAAAACAAACAAATTGCTATTGTAAAAAAAATTATATTATGGTCTGCTTTCCACTTTAGCAACTTATAAAAAACTGCATTCTGTAGGAATGGTCAAAGTTTGGAACCCTTTATGAGGTATATTTGGGATTTTCATTGAAGCTATCTTTTTGAATGAAAGATTTACAAAAAAAGATTAAACAATAAACCCTACAGGTCATTTAAAAAAAATTTTTAAAAAGTGTTTTGATTTATGTAAATAAATAAATACTCATCTTTTTGAAATTTTTGTTTGTTTAAATTTCTTCTCCCTCCCTCTTAGGTTTTGAATTTTAGGTAATAATAGACATAGAATTTTCAGACAGTCTTATCACTGAATAAGGAAGTGTGATCACCTTGTTATCATAGAGGAATATAAATCTGTCACTCACTCACAAATTTCACAATTGTCAGTGTATTTTAGTGCAAAGATTTGAACAAACTTAAATTACCTTCTCCTGTCTTCAGTCCACTTAGTATGGAATTATGGCCTTTGTATTTTTTATATATTAAGAATATTGCAATTTTTTTTTCCTTTGGGTGCAGATATTGTATTGAGCTGAATAGTTTGGTAAGCTTGTATGATACATGTATTGAGGTACAGATTGAATTTGATATGCATATAGAACAGAGTAGTGGCCCTTGAATTTTGAGGCCTAATTTTTTTTCTTTATAATGCATACAGATGTTTAAAACTACTATACATTGATAAAGAATGGTAACAGGATACATTTAATAACCCCTGCCTGAACTTACATTTATGCTGGCCAATATGTAATACACAGGTGATTGATCTATTCCCATGCATTATGAATATGTTCTTTTTTAGACATTAGCTGAATGTAAGCGAGTATTTCATTGCAGGTTTGGATATAAAATGACAACAAAACATGAATTATTAACTGTGACATTTCATTTCAGTGTTGTAAGAGTAAGAAGTGAAGAGTGGTATCTAGCACATTTTATGACAAATGTAGAATGAATTGTTTTTCCCAGAGATCAGATGGTTATACTCTTAAAAAGCAGAGGAATTAAGACAGAGGTCCATTTTACAAAAGAATTTTCAACTAAGACCAAAACTATAACTGATTGTAAAATCTAGCTGTTAAAATTGGCTGCAAAAATACATCTTTTAAAATTCTTGTAAAAAGATTAATAAGATTTTCACTTTATTGAAAAGAAAAAGGTAAATCACAAAATTACATTTTTGGGTAATTTTTGGTTGTTGTTTTGTTTGACACAATTCTCCCAGTGTCTCAAGGAAACTATATTTAGAATTACTAAATATATGTTATATATCTTGATCCATTTCACAAAAGAACTTATGACTAAGACCAGCACCTTTATATGATTGTAAATTCTTACAAAATTAATGATTCTGTTAAAAATTGCTTGCATAAAAATGTTTTTCTAAGTTTTAATTAACAAATGTGAAAACAGTTTTCAAATAACTATTGAACAGAAATTAAGTTATTTGCAAAATTACATTCTTGTCCGAGTCCTAAGTTCTTTTGTAAAACCTCACCTAGGTCTTCATAAAATTTCCTGTATTACAAAGCAAAGCATTAAATACCAATGTTACCCACAAGCACACGTGGAAAGTCTTTAAAACTCATGCTCTTTGGAAAATATTGGACTCTCAGATACTTAATTCATCTAAATTTTTTGTTTCTTAGTTTGCCTTGAAAATATGCTTGTGTAATGCATTTTCTTAGAAAATGAGTCAATAAGTTTTTTTTGTCAAACCAGCCTTGTAAAATCACATCTTAATTAAGAACATCTTAATTGCTGCCTATAAAGTGTTTACTTCTTTAATGAGGCCATTCGTCACATACTTCTCATGATCTTCAAAGAAGATGCACTAGGGTCAAGTTTACAGCTTTAATGAGTGCAGTATAATTATGCTTATGCTATTTAAGTCATCTTTTTATGCTCAGTAGTCTTCAGTGATGGATACATTTCAAGCTGCTTTTATTACATTAACAAAGAGAAATTTTTTTTTTTTAGGTTGAAGATTCACTTTGAAAGTTATAACAAGAACGGGCATGAAATTTGCAAGACATAAAAAATTTACATTTTTATCAATAAAAATATCATTATTTTAAGGAGATAATAGCAATGCATCGAACTGTTAAATGAACCTTTTATTTATGAAAATTGAAAAGGAAGGCATGGAACTGATGCTTCATTCTATTATTTTTAATCAATACTTTCAATTCTGCATCATTCTTACACTCTCACAGCTTAAAATTCATTTTTAATGGTTAAGTGAATGCTCCTATCCAAAAAAAAAAAGATAATGTGGTTGACAGGGGTTTTGCTGTGTACAAAATTAGAATGGGTTTGGGATATACTAGATAGGTTTTTGTTGTTGTGAAATACATTTATATCTTTTATAAAATGAAGTCATTTTTTTTATTATATAAATAGGTAATCCTTGTGACAGATGGTAGAACAGGCATTGGGCAAAGATCTTTGAAAAATTCTCTTGAAACATGGAACCAAAGGGAAAATGGTGATGAAAAATTCCCTCTGCCTTTCAAGTTTCCTTGTAAATTGCACATTATGATTATCAGCAGTCCGAATGACCCAGACATCAAAAGTTCTCTCCCTTTGTTTGAAAAACTTATTGAGATTAATGGTCAGGGGGGAGAACTGTGTGTGCCAGACAATACCTTAACTCTTCAGTCTGTGGAAGCCATGTTTACAAGGATACAGGAAAAGTTTTATCAGCCTTACAATGGGACACTGAAATGTGGAAACTTCAAGTGTTCAGTGCAGTTGTTTCCACCTCCAGATCCCTATGATTTGTAAGTTTATTTAATTAACTCTCAGCCCATAGTTTTGTTTTTTAAATAAATTTTTTGCTTTTTAACCCACTTGAGCCGAAGGTTCGCATGAGCTTCTCTGTTTGAAATTTTTCCATTGTCTGTCATTGTTGTAAACTTTTCACATTTTCATCTCCATCTCCAGAATCTTTAGGCCACTTTCAATCAAACTTGGCACAGAGTGTCCTTGGGTAAAGACCTTAACAACTGAGGTCCCATGTCACCCTCACTGCTCAATGGGCCTGAGTGCCAAGTATAGGTCTAAATTTGAAGCCCTTCATGGGCATACAGTGATGTCTCTGTATGAGTGAAAAGTTCTTGAATGGGACGTTAATTAACATACAATTAATCAATCCTTGGATAAAGGGGATTCAAGATTGTTCAAATGAAGGCCACACCCTCTTACAAGGGGAGATACAGTACAGGCCACGAGTTTTCCCCGAAAAACACGGGGCCCCGTGGACTGAAAGTCCACGCTTTAGCGTGGGCCTCGATCAATGTTGGCGTCTTTGAAGTGAGGGTGTCTGCGCACCGTGTAACACGGTGTGTACGCGCGGTGCATCACAGTGCCCCATTACAATATCACGCAGAACTTATAATAAAAACTTTTCATTTCTTTATTTAATCAATTATATCAATTTCCCTTGAAATCAGATTTTTTTTTCACTTTTTTCTTAAATATTACTACTTCTTTACCGATATACAGATGTTTGAACAAATAAGATACCATAAAATCGAAGATCCACGTGCTCTTGTACAGCAAAATACAAACTTCTCAAAATGTGTACGTACATCCAGTAAGTCACGTTTCAAAAACCTAACTATACGAGAGAAAAAATATGTTCAATAGTCAGACTATTATTATACTACGAAGGAATACACTTTCGTAAATTAATTACCTGGTTGTCTTTTCTCTCGATTATAACTGTGTTCATTTAAATTACAGTCATTTTCCTAACAAGATCTCTTTTACCGTACGTATGCATTCATATGTGGTATTTATCAGATGCATAGTTTATTTCATAAATCATTTTCTACGTAAAAAGATTTAAAAAAAAAAAAAAAAATATATGCATCTTCATAAATAAAATCAAAAAAAGTGTCAGATACACACACCTGAACTCTAATCTCTGATTATTACTCGGCGAATTATACATGTACTTTCGATTTAAGGGTTATTGCAATCTGTAATCATGTAAAACATATGGAGGTAAATATCGCGCGCACACACACACACACAAAGCCGACTTTTGGTAACTCAAATCTGCTTTTCAACTACTGTACAAATATTAGCTTATTATGAGATTATTTTATGAAAAATGTGTTGTAAGGTTTCCGAAAAAAAAAAATTAAATCAATTAGCGAATGTAGAGCGGGGATGTATAGAACAAATTTATAAGCTTCTCATGGTCAAAGTAATATTATAGTGTTAAGGAAGAAAATGTGTAGTTATAACAAAAACAAAAAAAAATCCTTACTTTGCTCTTTCAAGCTACATGCATTGTGTTTGCTAACCCCCCCCCCCCTCCACCCCCCGCGCTTCTAGAAAGCGATATGATTCAGCTAATTAAGAATTAATCGAAAGTCTGTGGATTTATATGTTACGTTATTGTGAAATAAAACAGTCATAATCTAACTGATTACATGTTTATATGTGTCTGAAAAAGGATAATTTACAAGTAAGTTTAAAATCAAGTCAAAGTACACGTGTGGTGGACTGGTGGCGTAACCCAGTAGATGAATTTGGCTGGAAGTCACTTTAGTGTGTTATACACATGATATGGTCAGGACGAAAGAATTTGAAAGGTGTGATAAACACACAGCGCCCTGGCCCTCCGGCTGTATCCCAATATATTTTAAAGAAAGGTGTAAACTCAGAACTGACGATAAGAATGAGAAATACTTTCCGCGTAAACAAACTTTCAGGGCCATCTAGCTGCGATTTTGATTGACAGGTAGAGCACCAGGATCTCGGGTGTCACGGAGAATAAACTGATTGAACACATGTTGTAACTGAGTTGAATATGAAACAAAGTTACGGAAATTTTAAAAATAGTATTATGAAATGGTTAATTGTGACTTTGGTAATGTAAATAAAGAATTAAATTTATAAGAATCTCTCTCTCTCTCTCTCTGACATTGTTTCTTTACACACTTTCCATTTAAATAAAACTTACTGTATTAAATACTTACGCTGAAAGGATTTTAAAACAAAAGCATAAATACTAGTTTATGAAAAGATAAAGACAATCGTCTGTTATGAGAAATGCTCTTGGACATTATAAAACGAAGATTTTTTATTTTTAGATTTATGTGAAAGGGTCTCTCTCTCTCTCTCTGACATTGTTTCTATAAACACTTTTCAATTAAAGAAAAAATTATTACATACTGAAACTGAAAGGATTTTCAAAATACTAGTTTATGAAAATCTGCTACGAGAAATACGCACATTATTGTACACAGGGATTTCGTGTGTTTGCTGTCGATTTTCACTTATAAATTCAGAATAATATAAGACTAACAAAATAAATGTGCTCTACTCAGGAATATAAAATTAATGCTTTGATTGTATACTAAAACAACTGCAGCTCGGATCGTATACTACATGTAATGCAGCTCGATGGATCATGCTATTTATAGCCTTTCTTCGTTGCATGAATGAGCTCATGGAATTAAATTCTTCGCACATTAAAAATTTTAATCCAAATGATAATTTTAAAAAGTAACTAAATAACTTTACGAAATACGAACTTCTAGGCGCACGACAAATTCAAAACCATTCAAATTTTCTGCTACCGATATTTAATCCTACTAAATGTGCCATTAGTACAATTCAGAGCAAATTCAATGTCTTCTATATTTTAAAACGATAATTATACATATATAAATCAAAGTGATTAATTGTCTTTAAATTTTAAAGTGTTTATCTGAACCAAATGATTTTCTCTGTAATGTTATGGACACGGTGCGGCACGGAGGGAATTTCTGGGCACGGTGCGACACGGGGAGCATTAGCTGGGATTTCTCAAGACACGGTGCGGCATGGTGTGCCTACCTGTGTATTTCAAATCCACACACACCGTGCTACACCGTGTACACGGTGTGACACAGAGCATTTCACACGGTGTGTTTTCCACCGTGCAACGGGGAAAACTCGTGGCCTGTACTGTAATTAAGAAAAGTAAAAATTGGGCGGGGTCATTTAAAAATCTTCTTCTCAAGAACCACTGGGCCAGAAAAGATGAATCTTATGTGAAAACTTCCTAATATAGGGTAGATTTAAGTATATTCAAATCATGACCCCCATTTGAGTGGTGCCACTATGGATGATCAAATTTTTATATAGGAATATATAGGGAAAATCTTTAAAATTCTTCTTCTCAAGAACAGCAAAGCTATGATTAGCCATATTTGTATGGAAGGATCTTCAGGTAGTGTAGATTCAAATTTGTTTAAATCATGATGACCCCTGGGGTGGGGTGTGGTCACAATATGTGATCTTAATTTTAAAATAGGAATCTATAGGAAAAAAATCTGCTGATGGAGAACAGGACCATAATGATTCAGGTGAGAATTGTGGCCAATGGGCCTCTTGTTTAGATTGCTATCCATTTTCTTCTGTTGTTATGTGTTAACGTTTATTTTTGACTTCTTCTCCATATGCACTTGTTTTGAATAAAGATAAAGAGCATTAGGGCTCTTAAGTTTTACAAAGGTCTAAATAAGAAAGAGAACTATAACTCAATCACCTTTGAAGAAAAATATTGCATGGTCACACTCAGGTGACTGTTAAGGCTCATGGGCCTGTTGTTTGAAAACATTTGTCTGTCACAACATGAAATATTAGACACCAAAATTATGTTTTTTTCTGTGTAATTGACTCATTATAATGTTCCAAATTAATACTCATGAAGCAGAGAAGGAATACATCTGCATAAATTCAACATGATTCAACAAAATGAACCAAATTTCATGTTAGAAATAAGGAGGCACCCTCCAATTAAAGGTATTTGACCATAATTGGTCAGGCTTTCTTCTAACTGCAAAAAAGTTAAAGACCTTCTAAATACTGATAATTATTGCTGGTAACTTGACAACCGTCAAAGATCTGTTTCATTATTGTCTTATTGATCCTTTGTTCTGACATAGGATACAGGAGTTTGAAGAAGTTCATCAACAAGTAAGCTCTAACCTAGAGATCTTGGGATTCATTGACATAGCGGACATTGCCAGCCCTCAAGCTTTATCTCGACATCTCGTCCTGCCTCTCCCAAACAAAGACACCAAGACTTCAGATAGTGGTATATTTCAGATACTGGTATATGATAGGCAGTGGTATATTTCAGTCAACAGAGTATGTCAGATAGTGGTATACGTTATATAATGGTATATTTCAGATAGTGGTATATGTTAGATAGTGGTATATCTCAGAAAGTGGTATATTTTGGATAGTGGTATATGTCAAACAGTGGTATATTTGAGTACCTGCCAGATAATGGTATATGTCAGACAATTGTATATTTCAGACAGTGGTATATGTTAGATTGTCGTATATCACCGACAGTGTGTAGTGGTATATGTCAGATAATGGTATATTTCACATAGTGGTATATGTTATATTATGGTACATGTATATGTCAGACAATGATATATATTTCAAATAGTATTATATATCAGACAATGGTATATTTCAGATACAGGTAGTAGTCACTGGTATGTTTCAGGGAGTAGTATATTTCAGATAGTATCATCAAAGTGGTATATTTCAGGTACATAGTTGTGTGTGTTAGATGGTGGTAAATATGTTAGATAGTGATATATGCCAGAAAGTGGTATATTTCAGCTAGTGATACATATTAGATAGTGGTATACATGTGATATATTTAAAGTAGTTGCATGTGTAAGAAAGTGACAAATATGTCAATGTTTGGTATGGTTGTTATTTAGTTATGGTAATATTTACTGATATTATATGTGATCGATAAGATGTTATACCAGATAACAGGAGGGGTGGGTGTCATTAGTATTGACTGCAAGCATATCAGGTAGTACTGTGAAATCACTAATTTTTGTGGGGTTTAATTTTCGTTGATTTTGAGGTTTGAAGAGACCCACAAATTCATGTCCACAATGAAATGTATAATCATAGGTACAACTATTCAACAATTCTTCATCCATGAAATCAAGTCCCTATGAACCATATTTTTTCCTCAAACCATGAAAATTTAACCCCACTAAATACATATATATGATTTTACAGTATCTAATATTGTATACATGTATATAATTTAAAATTTATTGGTCTAAGATTTAGATCATATTTTACTTTGTGCATTTTACATTTTATGAGTGATCTCCATTATATTGATGTAGAAGTGGAGAATAAAAAGGAGGAAGAAGATGCCGTGCAAGAAGAGGGTAAGATTCCAAGTTTTACTGTTCTCCTACACGGAAGTCTCAAAGTGGAGGGTATGGTGGCACTGACACAGGTGGCGTAAGTATCAGGACTGTCAATTATGAGATAGTACATGTAGTATGTATTCCTTATCAGTTTAAAACAAAGTGTCCTAATGAGACTATACCCCCACCCACAAAAGTGGTGTATGTATCAGAGCTGTCAATTACTAGATAGCAGTATGTATTCCTTATCAGTTTAAAACAAGAGGGGTCCTAATGAGACTATACCACCACCCACAAAAGTGGTGTATGTATCAGAGCTGTCAATTACTAGATAGCAGTATGTATTCCTTTTCTGTTTAAAACAGAGGTGTCCTAATGAGACTATACCCCCACCCACAAAAGTGGTGTATGTATCAGAGCTGTCAATTTCATGATAGCAGTATGTGTTCCTTATCAGTTTAAAACAGAGGTGTCCTAATCAGAATAATACCCCCACCCCATTCCCTGAGCAAGGAACATGAAAAAAGTGCATACATGAAAATAACTAGATACACAAACTCTGCCATCTTCCCATAATCAATTCTTCAGCCACAAGCTGTGGTACTCATATGTAGGTATGCATGTACTTGCATACCCATACTCTGCTTCCAGCAGTTGTTTAAGTGACTTGTCAATATCTAGACTAATGACACATAACTATTTATTACCTCTGCTACAGATGATAAAATGATGTGTCAAATGCATTAATTTAGGTATAGCTGTTAGCTAGTTACTGAATGTCTGTGTTTGCGGTGATGCTGGAATGATTCTAAATTGTTATGAAGTCCAGTATCAGAGGAGCCATATTGAGCATTTCACATTCAGATGTTAAGACATATTGGCATATATTGTAGAATGCTTTGACAAGTTTCATGTGTTATTTTAAAGTTTTTATCTTACTGGAAACTAAAAAAAAAAATACATTCATACTTACTCTTTATATACACTGTAGTTTTACTGGTCTGTCCTCTTTATGTAAAATTTGCAACTTTTTTAAATGCCTCTATATATTGTTAATCAGTTTTCTTAAGAAAAATATATAGTTAATGTTTGTCTTATACCCCCCGCTTGAAAAGTGGGAGGTATATGTTGATGGTGGTGTCCATCCAGATATTACCGGTACACTTGGGGGTAGCTATCCCTTATCCACAACTCCTCTTCAACCATTGAGTGAAATTTAATAAATCTTTCACAAAAATCTTTATTACATAGTAGCATTCTGCTTCTTCTATTTTATGTTTTGATTGGACAGATATTTGGGATTTACTGTAGCAAAACATCGACTAGATAAAGGAGCTAGGTACTAATTTTGTTAATGCAACGCCTTCTTAATCCCTGAATGAAATTCAATTGAATTTTCACAGAATCTCATTTACATATATAGGCTAAGAAATGCACTTTGCTATTTTAGTCATATTGAAACTGAGGGAGCTCAGAGCTCATAGTACCTCTAGTTATTTAACTCACTTGAGCTGAAAGCTCAAGTGAGCTTTTCTGATCACCCATTGTCCTGCATCCATCCATCTGTCTGTCCGTCCGTCCATCCGTCTGTAAACTTTTCACTTTTTGACTTCTTCTCAAGAACCACCAGGCCAATCTTAACAAAAAGTTGGCACAAAACATCTTTGGGTAAAGGGGATTCTAAATTATACAAATGAAGGGCCAAGCCTGCTTTCAAGGGGAGATAATCTTAAAAAATGCAAAAATAGGGTAGGTTTGTTCATTGAAAAATCTTCTTCTCAAGAACAACAGGGCCAAAATAGGTAAAACTTAAGTGGAGGATTCCTGAGGAAGTTTAGATTCTAATTTATACAAATCATGACCCCCGGGGCAAGGGTAGGGCCACAATAGGGGATGAAAGTTTTACATTGAAATGTCTGTAAGAAAAATCTTTAAGAATCTTCTTCTCAAGAACCACTGGACTAGAAAAGAAGAAACTACATGTAATTTGAAGGTTTCTCGAGGAAGTGTAGATTCTAAATATTCAAATCTTGACTCTCGAGGGTAAGGTGGGGCCACAATATATGTGATCAAAGTACATAGGAATGAAAAGCAGGGCCATAGTGACTCAGGTGAGTGATGTGGCCTGTGGGCCTCTGGTCTTGGAAAAAAAGGTTGGCAATTTAGGACTTATTTTTATATGTTATAATAATCATAATGCTTGCTGTGACAGAAATAGCATGGATACTGTGAAAACTAAGGAATCTACACCCCTTTATATATATTTTTATCTTCTTAGATTCTTTGTTATGAAATATTTTTAATGATTTCAGAGAGAATTGGTATGGTATTTTGTACTCCTGGGCAGACAGCAAGAAGAAAAGTAATCTGATGCTAAGTTTATTAGAGCCAGGTTTGTGTTATTTTTACCTTATCAAACTGAAAAAGGCTATATTAAGATCATGATACAGTTATCAGGGTCTTCATGTAAGAGCCATTTTGAAGTCAGTAAGATTGCTCAGTTATAAATTACAGTCAAACCTTGTTTCCTCAAACTCAGTAGGGCAGGGGAAAAATTAGATATCTGAGGATTTCAGGTATTGAGGTTAAAAAGTACATTAAAAAAATGTGGTTGGGACTTTCAACTCAATTCAACATTTCCATGGTATTCAAGATTTCAATGTTTGAGTCTCTAATTGTATGTGGAATTTTTTTTTTTTTTTTGATCATCTTGGGAAAGAATTTGAAATAATATATAATGAAAGAAAGCATCCCAATGTTGCTGTTGATTTGTTGCTGTCAGTGTAAATTGATTTCTTGAATAACTCTCCAAACAATAAAATTATGTAAACCTAATAAATCTTTATGAAAGCTCCATGCATTCTTAACTGTTCAGGAAACATTGAAAAACCTGAGATATTCATTTTTGTTTTGTGCAGTTTAGTTAATATTTAAGGAGTAGGCATGGTGCAAACGCCCACATTTAATGGAATTCTTCTCTAGAGATTAGTAGGAAAGATACTGTTTTAGCCATGATTTAATGATTGCATTGGAAATTTTGTTAATTATTAGACTACTGGAGCAAAAAAAAAAAAAATGCAAAAAAAAAAACCAAACAAACAAACAAACAAGACCAAAAAAAAAAAATTTTTTTTTTTTTAAATTAAAGGAAAATATACCCCTTCCCATTTTTACCATTGCATCATAATCTAAATTAGGAATTTTAAATATTAAGAGGCAAAACTTTTTTTTTCATCATTAGACATAATTGATGGTATTAGTAGCTTCAGAAATCATTAAAGCTGTGGATGTGATATTCTGTATGATATGATAATGGTATTTTGTCGATAGTCAAATCAATCTATAAAAATGCTAACTTCATTAGAACCGATGCTTAATTATACATGGAGGTTTGTTAAAGTGTTTCTTGGGTCATGTGATGACGTCTTTTAAATGATAAAACCAATTTTATTAATGTTAGTTGCTGAAACAGAATACCTGGAGGGAAAATTGAAATGTCATCACTGGGAGAAAAACTCTGACAATGACCATATTTGTTGGTTATGACAGGAAGTGATGGAATACTGTATCTTACACAAATAGATGAGTGAAACTATTCTGATGATTCAGATATTACCCAATAGTAGGCTAGCAGAATTCAGTCTCCAATGATTGTGTGGAGGTCTTGTTTAATGTTTTCTCCTGCAGCAGAGAGAGATTCCTATATATATGTGAGGAATTTATTATTGCATGATTTTGCAAGAAGCACCACTGGAAAGTAAACTTACCTCAGCTTATTTTTAAATTGCAGAAATACGTATAATGTCGATTGATCAACAGTCCAATTGCAAATTCACATTCTGGCAATTTAATGATTGTTTTTTTCATTCTTTGTTCTCATTTTTATTTAAAAAGCCTTAATATTACTTATAAAGATATTGTTTTAATTATATTGAGTAAAATTATAATATTACTTATAAAGGAATTGTTTAATTATATTTTATATATACATATTTACATTTGCTGTATTTTTCTACTAAGCCAAACTGTGAAATTGATTTGTATACTCACGCGTAGAAATATGCACAGAGAAACTTGCGCTAAAGTGACGTTACAATAAGCTACAGAGACGTTAATAAAAAAAAATAACGATATAGGGCAACGAATAATTCAAACATTGAGTATATTTTTGGTGCTTTTGAATATGTTAAATGTAAATATAAGGAATTTTTTTAAGTTTAGTATGAATTATTGGTGTGTAAATCACACAGACTTGCACGTAGGCATATTTTTCATGAAGCGCTATAGGGCGCATCATGAAATATGCCTATGTGACAAGTTTGTGTGATTTACAGACCAATAACTCACACAATTTAAAACTTAAAAACATTCCTTAAATAATTATATCTGTGAGTCATTTTGTGAAATTAAGTACGCTTGTAAAATAAGGAATTTATAGTAACCACATTTATTTGATAATATTATACGGTTATTGACTGGGTATGAGGGCAACATATGATTTGTTGGACCTGAAGGTGAAAATATTGCCCGAGACTGCAGGCCAAGGGCAACGTTTTCACCTTCAGGTCCAACAAATCATATGTTGCCTGAATCCCAGTCTGTAACTGTTTTGTTATAATTCCTTCACCTAAGGTAGAACACTAAAATGAAAACTTTTAAACAGATTTACTCAATGTAATTAAACAATTTCTTTATAAGTAGTATTATGGCTTTTTAAATAAAAATGAGAACAAAGATTGAAAAAAAACAATCATTAAATTATTATAACACAGAATTTATTTATCACAATTAAAACATAATTTTTTCTGTGACGCCATCTTTCAAATAGCATACGTGGTAACTCTTGAAACTTCGGCTATTTCCGTGCCACCGATATTGAACGATGACTAATTACTTGTGGCGTTGCGGTCCAACAATTCTTATGTTGGACTGACAGACCGGTCAAAAATGAAATTAATAGACTGATGAAAAAACATTTACTTTGTTGGACTTTTTATTTATAATAAAATATATAGAAAGATATTTATAAGGGTATAACAATTGTTGATAATGATCAAAGACACAAGGGGCGGAGTAATGATTCAAAATTTTTTCAAGAAAATCATGTACCGGGTATATGTATGTAGTATTCTGAATAGTTCTTTGAAAAATCTTTTTCCTCAGAGCTACTTTAATTCCTATAGATACATGGGTTTATTCCCATTTCAAGTCAGATAGGAAATAAATTCCCATTTTGAATTTTAGTGCCATTTATTGTGTTGACTGAAAATTGACAGTGGTGTTTAATACATGTATTATATATTTATTGACTGTGTTCGAGAGCAACATGTGTTTTGTTGGAACTCAAGAAACAAACTGTTTGCCTGAGGCCATTGTGCTGGCTTCCATGAAGTAAATTTCCTTTACTGGCACTCCGTTTAAACTTGGGTCATTTCCGTCACTATTGAACACCAACAAATGCAAATGAGATTTAGCTGATCCCACCCACAGTGTGACATAAGCGGTCCAATATCTCACCAACAGGTCCAAAATTTAACTCTGCTGTCAAACATCAATTTTTTTATGACCACTGAGTAAAACATTGGAAATGTTAGACTTTTTTGAGTATAACGTTAGATTTATATACCCAGCTAGGAACCAATTTTAAACTCAAGGTAAAACAAACCTGATTAGTAACATATTTTGATTTTTTTTTTCTACTGGACCTTTAAATTGTATTTACATAGAATTTGCAAGCTTTACTTAGCACCCTCCATTCTGCAAAAAAAAAAAAAATGATAATAATAAAATTAATAAATTAATTAAATTAATAAATATATCCATTCTGTCTGAAAAAATGTACCCATTCTTTTAGAGAATTGATCGACAATTTTTCATATTATACTAATTTATTTGGTACTGATAAATAATTTTTTTAATAACTTTATATTTAAAGAACTATTAAATTTCTCACTCTCTTTTTTGTAGGTCCAGAGCCAATAAGTTGGATTGGCAATATTGCTAATCTGGCCCCTATATCAGACTTTACTGAACCACCCTACGGAGAAGATGATAACAAAACTCCGTTTCCCATCCGGCCAGCAGAGAAACACAGCTACGCTCAGAGTTGTGTTGTCTGGATTAAACCTTCTGGACTCCAGGTAAGCGTTGAAAGAGGGGTAACTACAGTATCAGTAAACAGGGAAAAAAGTAATCCATGTATTGATTTTGATATAAACATAGGTCTTGACTTTTTATACACTGATACGTTATTGCCTTTTGTTATATACCCACTAGGCCGACATACAAAAAGTGTTGAGACATGCTAGGAAGCTTCCAGAGAAACATCAGCAGTTTTACAAGGTAAAAACAATGAAGAATCTGTAGAGTAATCTCAGGATTACATTTAATAATTCATTCAAATTGTTTAAGATGATCTTGATCTGATGAAATGTTGCAAAATTTTCAGTAAGGTTTCAAATAATGTTTTGGTTTTTTCAGAAGTTTTGTATATTTAAATGGGTTACATGTACCCCTTTTTTGCAAAATGATTTTCTCAAAAAAGGTGTTGCATTTTGTTATTATGAAATTTTGAACAATGCATTTGAAATCAGAACATGTTCAAGTGATAATCTGATAGACTTTCAGGTACATGAATTACATAGCTCTGGTTAAAATTACTATATTCCTTTTACATTGGTACATGTGAATGTTTGTTCAATTTCAGGAATTAAACAGACTCAGAAGAGCTGCATTGTCATTTGGATTTCTTGATCTGCTTGAAGCCATGGCATCCATGTTGGACAGGGAGTGCACAATGCTGCCCGGATCTGCTCATCCAGATGCAGCACTCCAGCTTACCCATGCTGCTAATGCTCTGCGGAGCGAGAGTGCCACAGATATTGCACAAATGATTCTTCCTTTAAGAACTAATTTCAATCAGGATACATCTTGATTTGTTGCCAAGAAGTTATGTACAAAAAATGTACAGAATTACAGTGAGACATTGAACAGACAAAGATCACATGCAAAGTGGTGAAGGTTTAAGGGAATGAAAGTGGACTGTATAATAATGATGGAATATACAGAGTAACAGCAATGCTATGTATTTGTTGTATAATTGGAACATCAAAACAAGGCTGGTAGCATCATTTGGGGGGTAATTAACAGTAACCCTCATTCTCATTGTGTATTTGTTGTATAGTTGGAACATTGAAACAAGGCTGGTAGAACCATTTGGGGAGTAATTAACAGTAACCCTCATTCTCAATGTCTGGGTTTCTGTTGGTCAAATAAAGAGGTCAGAAGATCTAAATGATATTGGAGTACATGTAATTATTTACATTTAATTTTATATCCCCACAATGAAGTAATTTTTTTCACCAATACGAAATAGAAACTGGGTTATCTGTTGAGCAAAATTTAAATTTGAACA